GAAAGGCGACCAGCTGTCATTTCATAGGTCCTCCTCTTTGGCCTGCAGTGGAAGCCTAGAGCCAGGCTTGGAATCAAATCCAGCTCATGGTGGTAAAGAAAGCTCTTCTCAACAGAAAACCAGAGACTCCTGCCCAGAGGGTGGAGGCTTCAGGAAGCCCATGAAACCACAAAGGCCCATCCATCCATCCATCCATCCATCCATCCATCCATCCATCCATCCATATATGAATAGCAACCACTCTTCAAATGTACATGGAAATTACTCAGCCACAGAGAAGTCAATACATATTTCTTGTGATTCTGCTGACATTCCAAGACTTTGAGTGGTACCACCTAACAACTGCTGAGAGCCAAGTGCCGCCTGTGCCCCGGCAGGGGAGTTTCATTTGTAGAGTGGTCTCTCAGTAGGAGTAAGAAGTGACCTTGACAGGGAGCCAAGTGTTGGCGCCAAGTGTTGGCTTTTATACTCAACAACCTCATGACACTTTCCCAGAGAATTGGCACTTCTTTTTGCATGCTAAAAAAAAAGGTATATAAATGTCTTCACGGACAGCTTCTTTGTCCACAGATGCCCTCAGGTACAAAATGTCACTTAGCAGACTAACACATGCCAACGCCTTCAGATTCTTGGCTCAGGGCTTTTCAAGAGGAGCAACTACACGTATATTGAGAGTCTATTATAAGTTGTTAACATTTGTTGAGCACTTACTATGTGTCAGGAACTATCCTAAGTGCATTTCATACATTCATGATCTCAGCTAACCCTCACCACGACCCCATGACGCAGGAACCATTATTAGCCCCACTTTACAGCTGAGAAATCTCAGGCACAAAGAGGTTGGGTAACTTGTTCTAGGGCACACGCTAGTAACTATAAGCAGGGATATAAATCCCACAGTTGCTGTCCCCCCGCCCACACCTTCCCTCCTGACCACTGTGCTAGGGTTTACTCTACGCCTGAGACTGCATAGAAATGCTCACTAAGCCTCAGGGTCTCCCACTGAGAGAACTTGAAGAAACATGGCAGTATGGTGACCACATGCATTGCTCCCCAACATCCTTACAGAGCTTCACTTTCTCACAATAGGGATGATGAAGCCATTTGTCTGATACCTTAAACCACCACACACTAAGCCTTTAGAGGCACCGATGGGGAAGGCTGTGGAGGGATCAGGTTTGGTAGGGAAATCAAGAGTTCAGTTTGGGGCATCCTGAGCTTGAAATGCCACATGGACGTCCAAGGGGAGATGTCGAAGAGCAGGTTAAAATTCACATATTACTGAAAGATTAATGGATGAAAAGATATGAAGAATGGGACTTTCTTAAAAGTAACACGGGAGAACAGATGGGAGTAGAGATAAAACAAGGTTTACCATGAGTTGATCATTGTTGAGCTGGTTGATGAGACTGTTGGGGTTGATTATACTATTCTGACTACTTTTATAATATATATCTATAACTTCCCCAAATTAATTTTTTAAAAATTCAGAAGGACATAGTGTCACTTATATAGGATACCATAAAACATGTATAACTTGGATCTAATCATGAAGAAATACCAGACAAACCCAAATTGAGGGATATTCTACAAAACAACAGGCCTGTACTCTTTAAAAATGTCAATATCATAAAAGACAATGAAGAGCTGAGGAACTGTTCCAAAATAAATGACACCCAAGAGACATAACAACAAAATGCAATATGTGGTCCCAGTTTGTATCCTGAATCAGAAAAAACAATTGCTCTAAAGGATATTACTAGGGCAATCAGTGAAATCTGAATATCAGTTGGTATATTAAATAGTATATATCAATGTGAAACTTCTTACTTTAATCATTTATTGTGGTTATATAAGAGAATGTCCTTGTTCTTAGGAGCTACACACTGAAATATTTAGGAGTGAAGAATCATGATGAATAAAATTTATTCTCAAATTACACAGTAATAATAATAATTATAATAACTTACAAATACATATATTGTATAGATAGATGTAGAGAGATTATGCAAATATGGCAAAATGTTAACAATTGGCAAACCTAGGTAAAGCATATATAGGTGTTCATTGTGCTATTCTTACAACTTTTCTATAGGCTTGACATTTTTCAAAATAAATTAAGAAAAAAACTATGATTAACTTGATGTAATCAGTATCCCTGAAACACATCCCTTGTGTTCCCATCCTTACAGCCTTTTGAATAAAAAGCTATCTTCTTTACTCCTCAGTGCTGAGTACCAAATCTACTTGATGTTTCTTCAAGAATGCCTCTTGTATCAGTTTTACATGCATTATGTCACTTACTCATCACAGCAGGCTGGCAGGTAGTCCCCAGCTGCTAGGGGTGTCATTGGTGGACCACCCATAGTTGCCAGCCCCTTTGGGGATTTGGCTGGAGAACATCCTGCTCAGTCACAGTCCCTTCCTGGGGTGGCCGACATCCAGTGCTTGATTGACCTGGGGTTGTAAAGGCTTGGCCCTCTTGCTTCAACTCAGCACAGTTCTGCACGGCCATCCCAGCTTCGGAGCGCTCTGTAGAGTCCATGGAGGCTTCTCGAGACCGCCTCTCAGCTTGACATGTCCCTGTGCCCAATTGCTTCCTTCCTCTCCTTTTCCCAGGTTTTGGCCTCAAGAATACTCCCTCACAGACCCCCTGCACAGTGATCCTCATCTCTGAGTCAGCTTCCTGGGGACCCAGCTGCAGTAATAATATCATGACTCTTTTGCAGATGAGGAAACTGAACCTCAGAAAGTCACTTGACTATGGTCAGAAAGCCATATGTTGATGAAGCCAAGACTCAGGCTCCAAATCTGCTGCCTCCAGCTTCCCCTCCCTTCTCTTTACCTCTCCAAATCCTACCTCTCTGTTAAGGCCAAGGCCAAGTTCCCACTTTTCTCAGAGGCCTCCTCGACTTCCCCTTTCTGGCCTTGAAGCTCTTACCATCTGCTCCATTTGGCACATGGCCGTGGTCCTATCTGGGGACTTTTCTTAACCATCAGCTCATATTACACAGCCACTGTGCTGTCATTTAGCTTTCTGCTTTGAAGTTTGGTGCTTTCTCTGCTATCTCCCTAGGGACAAATGTTCTTCTTTGCATCCCGACAGTTGCTGTTCACATGTTGAGCTTGCAATATATTACCGTGCAGTGAAAAAACGGCAAGATTCCCCCTCTTCTGGCTATGTTCTAAGTCTAAGAAACTGAGGAAACACTATATCCTCAAAAGATACACTGCCCTGCAGCCTCAATTTCTTGTCTGCTTTTTCTGGAATGGTAAAGAGCTTTGTGAAATATAAGGGGATGGCAGGTTATTCCGCCACAGGAGCAATACCATCCACGGGGGAGTAGCCCAAACTGCACTGATCCACATTAAATGAGCCAGAAAATACTTTGTCAAATTCAGTCAAACAATAAGGAAGAAAACAACATACCAGGAATAAAATCACTAGAATGCATCTTGGTCATTTATTTTGGCAAAACTACTTTCATTTTAATTATTTAAAGTACTTCATAATATGCGAGGAAATGGGATGTTATATACTTTGCAAATGTAATGAAGTCTTAGATCAAAAATCTGACAATACCATATTGTTAAACTTTAAGAGTGAAATAAGTGAGTCACTTTTCCTTGAAGATTATCAACTAGGAGATTAGCAAAGCCTTTTCCATAATCTCCCTAGCAAGGAGAAGAGAAAGTAGGCCAAGGCAGGAAAGTTCAGTCCAAACTTCCTCACTTCCAGTTCCTGGGAATCTCTTGCTGTCATGGTAACTATGTTACTAAGTGACCACTCAGGTATAGGCAGGACTTGAAAACAATAAGCATCTAAACACACTATCAGCTTTCGGTTTAGAAATAACTTTCAGCACTTTTTTTCTCCTTTGCTTTCAAACATTAGCCTGGATGATGATGTGCTGTGTTGCAAGAACAATATAAATGCAAATCGACTGAAAAATAATTCTTGTCAAGCTTCCCTAGCTATTCAACCAGCACCAACATAGGAAGAGATTTTAGAGAGAAGTTTCTGAGTTGAAACATCTCTAGGAGGTTCACAAACTACACAGCCCACAGGCCACAGCTGGCCTGCCACCTGTTTCTGTACTTCTTGTGAGCTAAGGAATATTTTTATATTTTTAAATGGTTAAAAAAATCAAAAGAAGAATAATGTTTTGTGATACCTGAAAGTTATATGACATTCAAATTTTAGTCCAAAAATAATGTTTTATCGAAGCACAACCGTGCTCATTTACTTACATATTGTCTATGGCTGCTTTTGTGTTACAATGGCAGAGGTGAATAATTGTGACAGAAACAGAGCCAAAAATATTTACTATCTAGCCCTTTACAGAGAGAATTTGCCAACCCCTGGTCTGGAGACAAGAGCTGTACAGGAGAAGTCACACTAGGAGACTGGGCGTCTCTTCTTTGCCAAGAAGTCTGTAACAGGCACTGTCTTAGTCTATTCGGGGCTGATATAACAAAATACCACAGATTTAGTAGCTTATAAACAACAGAAATTTATTTCTCACAGTTCTGGAGACCAGGAAATCCAAGATCAAGGTGCCAGCATGGTCGCATTCTGGCGAGAGCCTTCTTCCTAATTCATAGCTGCTGCCTTCTCACCGTGTCCTCCCATGGCAGACGGTCTAGGGAGATTTCTAGAGTCTCTTCTATGAGGGCACTAATCCCATTCGTGAGGGCTCCACCCTCATGATTTAAGAACCTCCCAAAGGCCCCACCTACTAATACCATCACTTTGGGGGGTTAGGATTTCAACATAGGAATTTGGGGGAGACACACTCAGACCATAGCAGGTGCCTTTGATGCAGATTCAGGCCTTTTCAACAGAGCCTGTGCACATTCCATTCACCGATGCTTCTTGGAAAGCACAGCTGCTCTTTTTGTGGAGGCCAAGAAGAACAGCATCATGTGACAGGATCACATGCTTTGTCAATATGTTCTAATACTGCACTCTCCCCAGGGTCAGGCAACATGCTACTTACTCCCTCATGCGTTTCATCTTGGTCCCGGCCATCGCACTGTTGATAATTGTTGCTCCTGGGGACATGTCCCGAGCTGTACTGGTGATGGTCCTTGTGTCTGAAAATCAATGCACAGCCCTTATTGACTTCATCAGCACTCCAGCAACTTCAAGGCAACATTCAAGGGCAACCAGAAAACAGAACCTAATCCACCTTTGCCACAAGGTAATGCTACATTAATTAGAGATGAATTCAATTATGACATGCACATTAAGGAGATCCAAATGACAAGATTATTTACAGTTTTAATATGCACAAAGAATTCCAGAACCAAGACTCTCTCAAAAAGAATTGTTTAGGGGCCGGACCGGTGGCGCAAGCAGTTAAGTGCGCGCGCTCCACTGCGGTGGCCTGGGGTTTGCCGGTTCGGATCCTGGGCGCGCACTGACGCACTGCTTGGCAAGCCACGTTGTGGCGGCGTCCCATATAAAGTGGAGGAAGATGGGCACGGATGTTAGCCCAGGGCCAGTCTTCCTCAGCAAAAAGAAAAAAAGAGGAGGATTGGCAGATGTTAGCACGGGGCTGATCTCCTCACAAAAAAAAAAAAAAATTGTTTAAACAGAACGCCATTATTTCAAAGATGGGCTTTTTTAATACTAGAAAACACAGGGGCAAATGCATCTACAGAAAAGCAAATGTTCTTGGGAAGCCTTTGGCCAGTCTCTTTCAGCAGATGTGGATATTTGATTGATGACTGAGGAATTTTTGCTAATAAGCTTAGTTTTCCGCTTATCTTAATCCCACACCTGAGCATTAGTTTTTTTACAATGCAAAGCACGATGCTGACCGGGGGGTCATCTGCAGCCCTGAACTTCAGCAGAAGGGCGCAGAAGGCCAAAGTTGGGTTCAGAAAGCTGCAATGTTATGAAATCTGCTGCAAGAGCCATAAATTTTACCAAGATACCCTGGAGGCTCTTACAGAACATGTTGGAATTGAAGGGAAAGAAATAGTTCAGCAACTGAAACAACACTGCTTCCCATTAAGAAGCTAAAGCTGGCCCCTGAGGGAGGGCCCCGGGTAATCCAGAGTTGGATTTGCCTACAGGCCCTCCCTGGGGCTGGCGGCAGGTCCTCCCTGCGCATTCCTTAGATCTCCCACAACAAGCCTCTCACTCCATCAGGAAAAGACTTTGAACACCCTCAGATTCATTTGTAATTTATGTCCATGCAGTTGCTATGTCAGAGAAGGGACCTCCGTTGTGAAATTCCCACTCTTTTCCCAACACATCTCATATAACACGTGACTGTCTGATTTAGGGACCAAATGAGACAGCGAGGGCCAATCCCTACTTCATATATTAGTAAAGCTTTTTTCTTATATTTTTAAATTTAAAAAATTAAATGCAGGGCTGTCCCAGTGGTGTAGTGGTTAAGTTTGCGCACTCTGCTCCAGCGGCCTGGGGTATGTGGGTTCAGATCCTGGGTGTGGACCTATACAGTGCTCATCAAGCCGTGCTGTGGCGGCATCCCACATATAAAATGGAGGAAGATTGGCACAGACGTTAGCTCAGGGCCAATCTTCCACACCAAAAAAAAAAAAAAATTTAAATGCAAATTCTATTATTTCTCAACATGCCCTTCTTTTGTATACCCCCTTGGAGGCACACATGCCACTTTGAACTTCTTGCTCTTATAGATATCATCCAGATGAATATTCTCCTGCCTAACTCTTTGTCAGAATCTCCGATCTTTCCTTAGGCTACATCCCTAGATGCAGAATTACTGGATCAACAGGTATGAACTTTGTAAGAGAGCATGTTACAATTAGTTAAATAAACAACCTGCCCTTCCTGGTACATCATCAGTTATGTCCCCACATTAAGACACAAGTACTGGTGACTGATTGCTCCCCTCTCTCCTGGAGATTATCCCCTCCACACCTTGAGAGAAAACCTGCCTTAGCCTTCGCTGGCATCAGACAGCAGCTTCATTTCAGCTCCCTCTTCCCATCAGCCCTGGCCAGAATAGCTGCTTCTCCCCAGCCAAGGCTTTTGTGAGGGAGGTGAGGGGGAAGGCATGCGGGGTCCATTCTATGTCCAGTTGGTTGCTTTTTATAATCGTCTTTCCTAGAACCTGAAAAGTTACTAAAACCACACCATGCCAAATAACCCAAATGTGAGCTCAAAAATCAGTTCTGCCAAGAAGGAAAGGAAGGTGCCGCTTTCCCACCTCTTCCAGAGAGAGCTGGCAGGTCCTGAAGGCTTATGCGAATAAAGGTCAAAGCAATTTCCAGGAGAGCTGCAGTTTATTTTAATCTGACCACTGTTCTCCTCAGGAAGGCTCTCAGCATTGCTGGGCAAGATGCTAAGCCTTAATTAAGCCCAAGAGTAGAGAACAGGGCAAATAGAATTTCAAGCAACAGGGTTGGGGAAGCTTGGTGCTCAGAGCAATTCCTTTTTCAGTGTTTCTTATTGGCCAGCCTTTTCCTCTCCATCCCACTTTCCAACATGAATAGCAGATGCTCTGTGTCAAAGGACCACACGTTTAGCAATCATGATAAAAACAACTGGGCTAGAATCACAGACTTCATCTAATAGGTAATTGGATCCCAGAGTGTGTTCTAGACCACTGCTTCTCAAACTTTAATGTGATATGAATCACTCAGGAATCTTGTTAAAATGCAGATTCTGACTTAGTAAGTGTGGGCAGGGCCTGGGATTCTGCATTTCTAATAAGCTCCCAGGTGATACCAATGCTGCCGGTCCTGGGACCACATTTTAAGTAGCAAGCTCTAGACAGGCCTGCTGCACAATTCATGGGGCCCAGAGCTAAACAACAATACAAGGCCCCTTGTTCAAAAAGCAAGAGACAAGCTGGTTCCTTTCTTCCGCATCTCTCTCTGGACCGATCAGGGTATTTTTTACTGGGTATTGAATGTCATTCTCCCTTGGAAACTCGGACAGACACTCTGAAGGAGAGTGAAGACCTTCGCAGGGGCCTGAGGGTCCCACAACCCTGACCCTCCCCCAGGCATGCCCAGGCCACTGGGAGTGGAAGGTGGCAGTGGTTGCAGGGGTGGGTCAGGGAGTGGGTGGCAGAGGACCCTTCCCAGGGAGGCAGCTGAAGGCGAGGCAGCCCATGAGAGAGGCTTCAAGCCCCTGGCATATGTCCCATGGTCCCATCAGACTTCACTCATAAAACACAAATTCAAAGATAATATTATTAGGAATTGCATTAAACCCCAATTGCAGGCCCCCTCCTGAGCGTGGGGGGCCCACCAAGCTCTGGTTCCAGGGCTCTGCTTTCTTAGATATTTATAAAAAAATAGATGAATCTCAATCTCTATGTTGATTTTTTAAAATTAATTTTCTCTTATTAGTTTCAATACACACACGATGTTAGGTGCATTTATGGTTGCACAGATTTCTTATGAGACCTCTATACCGTCTCCCTCCCAAGGATCTTCCAGCCACAGGGTGGGGACCCGCCCCCTCCACCGAGTAAGTCTGTCCCTCTCTGATTTACCTTTGACTGGCCTTCACTTTTACTTCACCTCCATCACTTTTCTAAAGAACAGTGGACCCTGACATGAACCATTGCTTAGACAGCACTCTTCTCCTTTTGGTTTCTAAGACTGAAGAATGTTCACCAACCAGTCATCAAACACGGCTTATACCTATGGTGAGTTTTTCAAAGTGGATATGCAAGTGGGAGATTTTAGAAAAAACTAAAATCTAGTTTTTAGAAAAAACTCCGACCACTCTATTCTGCCTGTGGTAAATTCTGAAGATACTTGACTCCAGTGCACCTCTGTGAAAAGCCATGGGGTGCATGTTGTGTGGCTGGGACTCAGCAGGCCTTCATTGACTGCAGCCTCAAGTCAGAGGGGAGCAGGGGGACCAAATGGCAGCCACGCCCTGCCCCCTTGTACCCACTCACTGTGTGGGCTGTGTGTTCCTTAGAAGGGGACTATGACCCCATTAAAATACAGGGAGAGTGACTATGGTCATGCTGCCTCAACGGAGGAGAACACTACTGTGCTCACAGCTCAAACCATGGGTCAGCATCAAAACTGTGGGTCCAGACGTTTTGAAAAGAAAGTGGTGACAGAGAATATAAGATGGAACAACTCAAGCATTTGCTTCCTTTTCCCCATCCCCTTCATGCCCTTCACCAGAACAAGGAGGACCTTTTGCACTATGAAAACGGAACTGCAAACAGATGCTGCGACTTGCGGTTCTGTTGAGTTTCCTTTTGAACCAATTCTACCCTTCCCTCTTGTGTCAGTCAGCCTGGGTCCTCTCCCTCAAATTCTACTCCTGTCTTCTCTGTCACCGTCATGGTCTGCTCTCTGCTGTTCTGCCCTTTCCTTGATACCATCTTTCAACTGTTCACCCCGGCTTCCCACCCTAGGTTCCTTCACCTTCCTGTCTCAGGTGTGTGACTTGTATTTCAATGCTTGGATCTACTGTCTCTTTTAAACTTCATTTCTATACAAAGTTGTTCCAATTCATCATTAACAACAACAATGATAATGGCTAAACTTTTTTTAGGAGACAAGAGTCGGGCCCTCTGCTAAGCATCTTATCTATACCATCTGGGTAAGGTTCCCATGAGGCAGGCGCATTTTTCAATGAGGAAAATGAGGTTTGAGACATTAAGTAACTTACCCACATTCATACAACTGATACATTACATAGCTGGAACTTGAAACCAGGCCTTGTTTTATTCCATAGTCCTAGATGTTGGGCGCCGTACTGCAAACTTCCTAGAGTGAATAGCTGCTCTATGTCAACCTCTGTGCTAGGTGTTAGCTGAGATGCTACTTGCCACGTTTTGCTTTCTAATACTCTTCGCTATAGACACGAATCTCTCCCTCCACTCTCCTACCTTTTTAACTAGTTAGTAAGCTCCTTGGCCACAGAGATTATGTCTTGTTCGTCTTTTATCTTTTTTTTAATTTCTTAATCCACTTTAAGTGTATAACTCAATAGCATTAAGTACATTCATGATGTGCAACCATCACTACTATCTGTTTCCAACACCTTTTCATCACCCCAAACGGAAACTCTATACCCATTAAACAATAACTCCCCATTCTCCCCTCCCCCACATCCC